GTTTGTCCATCCATGACCTATGATAGCATGTAATATGTAATAACTAATGATGTTATTTATACMATAAGGTGCATGTGTAGAAACGGAATTTACCGTAATAATACAACGCGTTACGTATCCTCAAGGACGTTTTCAGGGTCACCTCATCTGCACGGTTTCGTTGCAGTATTGAGTATTCGTAATATTATGCATATAATATGAGTAAAGTAACATGTTGCATGATACGCACGATATTGACAGATTTTTGATATTATTCGTGTAATAATAATTATCGTGAGCACGTCTATTCATAACGTAAAATCGTCTCGTCTGAATATAATAGGTTAGGTATACCTATATATAGGATTTGACTACAACTCTATATGAATCACGGTACAGTAACGATCGACCCTAGCCACGGTTCATACAGAAATCCTATAGCTGTGTAAAACATCATGTAAAACGTGGCAAGATGGCTTGTTTTACCATATACCTAGTCTTTGCCCGTTTTAATTTTTAAATTAAAACGCACAAACAACGTAGGTACCTATAGTATGATTATAATATCGTATTATAAATGTATTTAATGTTGTGCGATACGCTAAAAAGAATTAGTGATGGGCAACGTTTAGTTTGTCATATACTCATATCATATTTAAACGAGTTCGTACTGCATCGATTACATCATAATTTAGAAAATTTACACGTAAAATAGTGGCTCATTTTTTTATTTTTATTATCAATCGAATTTCAATCGAAAATTCGAGTTGAGGAAGAAGGTGGCTTTTTTATCCGATACACGAATACTTTGAGTATATATTTCTAATGTGCAGAGATTATAATTACTATGGATAGATGAAAGGATGGATAATGCACGGAATCGATTTTTAGAGTTTAAAACAGTGATTGCGTTRTTTTAGGTAAGGGAATAAATGCTTTATTTGAGAATCAGAATATGAGACCATATTATGTAGGACGTAGGTATAGTAATTAGTTATTAGTCATTATAAAATATATTATGTACCCCATGTTCGGGAAGTGCCTCGATTCGACTGACTGAGTGACTTAAAAATAGCAGAGAGAATTTATGGCCAAATATAGGAAATAATGAATAATAATAATAACCTAAAGGTTCGGACGAAACTGAACCGGCCAAGACTAGCCGCGAACAATTGCGTAAGTGTGGTAAAATTGAATTAGAGAGTTCCATTTTATGGGCCGGTCACGCTTCGATTTATGATAACTGTTTACCCATATTATTATACTTATAGTGAGAATATGCATGTATATATTATATATATGTATGTATAGTATGCAGATTTATTAGATAAGACAGTGCAAGTTATTTAAACGGTTACAGCATCAATATCGCTATATAACATTTCGTTTATAATATATTTAATCATTCAGTGTATGTACCATTATTATTATTATTATTAAGTATATTAWACGAACACYTTTACACTTTAATAGAATGATTATTGTTTTTATATTACGTTTGGCCCCTATATAGGATACAGYGAAATATATTTTAATGTGCAACATACGAAACGAAATTATACTCGATTAGTGCAGTATAAACAACTGACGAAACCAYGAATGTCGATAAACAAAGATCGAGTAATCGCTGTAAGACCTGCGTTTAGGTAAATCGAACGTTTTACACGCTGTCGCCGCTTATTATTTAGTTGTTGTGTAATYGCCATATAAGAAGGTCGTAGGACCACGCGACCACATTYGACTAGAATTTATTATTTCCTACAACCACCCAGTTATATTTTCTTCTCGTAATAATAATTTATCGTAATACCTACTTATGTATGTGATGTGTACAAAATATAAAATACAAAAGTTTATTTGTCACTGTCATGGATGAAATTTGCTCCGCGACGAAGCTTCGAGGTCGTAGGTCAGGTCAGACAGAGGTTGGTCCTTTTTTAAATTAAAATCGGCGAAAAGATCTACACGAAAATCGATATTATATACACAAATGTCTACCTCTGTAATAGGMTTCGTCGGTGAGCCATCACAAAGTGATATGGTAGACGGTTGTATAGGTACATGGACGAACATAATGATTATGTTCTATACAATTATTCAATAGGATATTATAATTCGTATTAAATTATTACGCGTTATAAATGTTAAATTACTACCGGTTACTAGAATTAAATTTGTGTTGAATTTATTGAATCGTTGAARTAYGGCTAACAATAATATTACTCATACCTAATTTGTTCGAGCGTTGGCTGGTGGACAGAATTCGAGCTATAAACTTTGATCCTTTCCCGCTACAGGTTCTATCGTTTACGACGAAATTACTAATAATTATTAGTACAAAAAATAGTATATAATTATTGTCGTAATATAGGAGGTCGTTATTTTATAAACGTACATTATGCAYTTCGATGTTCGCATCACTAAAACTACATGATATAATATAGGTACTAAAACTGCACGTTATACAATAACAACAATATAATAATATTATTATTATATCTCGATCGTAATAATGTTGTGTAATTATATGGGATACACAGACGGACGACCGTTTAACTGCAGCACCGAAGCTTCGTCGTCGGTGGCGGAACCGAAATTTAATAGTATTACACTACTCACGGCGACCGTGGCAATGACAATAACAATACATTATGGGCATTAATGCAATAGCGTAATAATAACATGTGTGCAGAAGAATAGGACGGGACGTCGCCGTAAAAAAACATACACACGAGAATAATTTCTTTCCTACAATTATCATTACCATTATGAATCGTACGTGCGTATCCAACATGAATTAGTCGTGAACGATGTGCCTTTTGACTCGTTGTGTACGTAGCTGATCGTCGCGTGTATAGTTGGATTTTGCGGATAGGTGAGCGGCTGGGTGGAAAGTGGAGGCGCTTGGACGTGGCGCCCGCGAAATRATGTATATCGCTCGGTCGATATCATATAATTATAATATTATAATTTAGTTAATATGCGGTTTTTAGCGAAATTTTTTTTACCATTTTCGGAACCTTGTTTTTATGCGTATTATAATATATAACTATGGCACACCGCGCCACTTCTTGATCTTGTGGTGCAGTCGATGATATGCGTTATCAAACCATCAAAGCAAAATACAGTATAGGTAGCGCATATTATATATTGACATAACTTATTTTTTCTCATACCCAACAAGTTTCAGATAGTTATCATACCTCTGGCCTTAACCATAATTTGTGTCATCCCCCCTCCACCTGAAACAAGCATAGCTGGTAAATATAATAATATTTTAAGAATTGTCCTGCAAATGAGATTATAATTATCTCTCGGTGACTATGTATGTATTCGATGAGAAAATGCGTTGCGTGATGATGTATCGTCAAAACAGTCATCGCGGAAGATTTTCAYGAGCATAACGACGACGGTAAAAATCGCRCGTTTTTTTTCCCATTATTTTCTCGTATATTATATAATCACATCGGAACYGTCGTTATAGTTGTGTGAGGTATAAGAAATGAAGAACTTTGGTGTTTAAACGTCATACTCAGAAATCTATATAACCGTTTGAATAATTTTCCTCGTAAAATCGTCGATTGTTGTAGTAATKTCTTATTGTGATATAAATATACATGTATATATACCTAGGTATTATATTAATACTATACAAGTATCATATAGTTATATGTGGTATCACTGTAATGTCATAATTAGGTCGAAAAATTCTATTTTATGCGTCTTAAAAACAGTACTAAACGATTCACAATCGATTTAACTTATATATACACTGTGTTGTAGGTATATACAAACAATAATGTTATCTAATATTAATGTGATTATGGCACTATTTTGTCCATAAAAAATGTTATTTTTTGATACAGCGGCGGCGGACTAGTATTATAATTTGACGGATTGAGGTACCATTTACACCTGCACGACACCGATTGCAACGAGTAACGATTACATCGGCATATTGTGTTTAAAATAAAAATAAAAATAACCAAATTATATGTGGTGTCAAGTACTCGATAGTTCGCAATAATTGATGAATATATAGGTTTCAACTTCAAAGCTTTAAGAATGCATTAGTTCTACAAGTAAAAATCAAAAAAAATATGCACTATAAAAACACCATTTATATACGAAAAAATCGTAAAAGTTATAAAATGTGCCCTTGAAATCGAAAAATTTCTGACCACAAAAATATATTACCTTAAAACGYTATTGATATTTAATTTGTAAAGTCGKGAAATTAATTTACAGCTTACTTCTCGGTAATTAATCTTTTAAGTCGTACGTAAAACAAAAAACAAAAAACTTGCAAATGTAAAAATTAATATAGTTCACACGCGATCACTACCAAATAGTAGCATACACGCCCACTATAATACAATATAAAAATGATATAGTTGTGATATAATATTTCAACGTCCAACACATTTTTTTTTGGAAGATTCGTTTTCGTGATCGCGTCGTCCTCCTCGAAAGAGCGTTGATGGCACCTCTGCACAGCAGTATCGTATAATRCTATCTCTCGGATGTGTAGTCAAATTGCTGATAACTGTGTGTGTTATCGTAAGTTCGTGTGTGTGTGCAAGGATATACTAGAACAGTTGGCACGAAATCGCGTGTACACATAGACACGTATTTTTAACTGCGGGAGCCTGCGGGCGTGCGCGGGGTGTTGTGCAATGTCGCGGCGGTATATGCTCCAGTGAATGGTAAAAAGCATGATGYACATATATATGTATATGGTATACAGTAATCTGCCCTTGACAAGATAGACGTTTCACTTTCGACTTGTGCCGGTCGCTGTGTTTATCACTGCGGTTCGACGACGGTATAGGCAGGAGCGTTCGCGCGAATAAAACAATCTTAACGCACCAGGCGTGTAAATAATATTATAATGATGTAGCGTCGTCTCTAGAATCGAAAATTTGAGTTTGTTTATAAACATATCTCAACTAATAATCACGAATCAGTTACCTATAGAAATACTACCTCAACCCGTTTATAATAATATTTTTGTTTTCCAGAACTGAAAATGTCTAAAAGCGGCGGCGTGTCACTGTCACTGCGGCTGTTGCTGCTGTCGTCGGCCTTGGCGACGGTGRCCGTAGCCCAGTCGAACTATGATCARGTCGAAAACAGCATCGAATTCCCTAGTCCAGACCGGGGCYTGCCCGAGTCCACGGTGCTGGACGGCAAGGTCACCAAGCTGGACGAATTATCGCCAGTGATATTTCTGAACAGGACCAAAGCGGCGTTAAACTGTGCCGCTGGATTTATGCAGGTTAGCCAGGCATATCATCTGACATATAGTATTATGTTAATAAATAATTAACACATACATAATTATTAAGCGTTAATAGTGATAGGTTTTGTGGTTATTGTATTGGTATGCGTGATTTACATTGGACCGTGTTTCATTTTCAGATTGAACTCAAATTTGAAGAACCTTTTTACGGTAGGGCTTATGCGGACTTCGACCGGAGTAGCGCATGCATGGTGACTGGCAAAGGTAACAACACGGCCAGGATCGATTTGCCGCTAAAAGGATGTGGTACAAGACAAGTACGCGAGAGAAAATCCAATTTAATTATTAAATATATTATTTTTTCCACTTSTWATTTAAACAAATGTTTTGTCTTGTATTTTATTGATTCAGGATCCACAAAGAGTTTTTACCAACAACATTGTAGTGAGATTYCACCCCTTCCTAGAAATGGATGGGGACGAAGTGGTAACTATAGTGTGCAGGTATCCACCACCCATTGCTCCACCACCAGCTGGTATTCCTAACAAAATGTAAGTGCATATTATATATAAGCGTCAAATGTATTTTTTGTGTAAAAAACAAGTTCTTATATTTTATTCTTTATAATCTATTCTAAAATTATAAATACTKATACGAATTAATAACATAATAKATACATATTAGTATYACCATTGAAAACAGGCAGATACTTTATATTTAATAATAGTTAAGTTAAATATTGATCAAGGTTACATGACAATACCTCATTTATAATACAGATAGTTAATACAACTGACTCGACATTATTTTTATTTAAATCATTGATCTTTATAAACTAAAAATGCATTGAAATGCAACAGAAACTAATTAAGTACCAATACAAAAATAATTTATGTATTTTGTTTTATCTAAAATAATCAAAATTACCAGGCCGAATACTTATATTCATTATTCACTGATAATAATTATTATAAGCTTAAATTTAGTTTTTTTTTTTGTGTCCAAGGATTTATATAAAAATGTAGCTACAAAATGAAAGGTTAGATGCAACGTGCATTATATTATAACGTATATATTTTAATGATGTGAAATACATAGTAAATGTATTTAAATTCGGATCTTTCAAGGATCCAAATGATAAATGTATTTAACGATTAATAATGCTCCCCACGTAGACAACRTTTAGACATACAGCGTGTACAGTGTGTACATTTATCCGAATTAAAATATCTAACTTAAAATTTTTTTCTTRTGTAATAGTATCGATTTACCATCGACGCCACTGGAACCACCACTGAAGGGATTCCAGATCCTGTTGATCGTGTGTGGTATCTTGTTCTTGTCACTGGTCTTGCTGGGTCTCGGTTGTTCGTACTACTGCCTGCGCAACCAGCAAGTGCAGGTGGTCCGTCGACACCCACTGTCGACCATCGGCTCTGACAAATTGTCTGACTCTAGCCTGTCCATGTTTGATGGGCTGAAGATACCGCGTGCTCGAGCCCCAACCCTGGACAGTTCTTCCGGTTCAGAAATGGCTTTGGTCAGTGCTGGTGACACGTTGCCCAGYGACTACCCGTCCGAATCACCCAGTTCCGGGCACTCGGAAGCGGAAGACGTTGATGGCCGTAGTTTGAGACGATCACCGAGTTCTGGTGGATCGTACGAAAATCGGGCGTTCCAGCAAGAGTACTACGGAGAACGGTACCAACATTTGCCGGCGCCGACCATTACGCCACCACCACCACCAGTACAACCTAAGTTTGACGTTCAACTTCGAGTGAAACGCGCCCCACCMCCCACACCCAGTCCTACTCCACCACCATCCGAGTCAGAGGCGAGCGTGGCAGCGTTGGAACGGAACCTAACTACTATTCTAGAAAAGGACGAGACGATGTCGACAACTACGACAACAGCAGCGGCTGAAGAACGGTATCGGCCGGTGTACTCGACGGTGGTGCGTAAAGACAGAGATGAGACCGAATGGTATAGGACGGAAGAGAACGTGATGACTACGGATGCTGATATAAGAAGGCCAACACCACCACCTCCACCAACGGTGCAACTGCATACTACGGACAACAGCCATCGCTATGCCACCACATCCAAGTACACGACCGAGATGCAAGTAGACGTCATCGAACCGCCAGTGGTGCCGACTAAACGGCCGGAAATCACGTCACACACGGTTGATGACGTGTTCCTAAARACAATTACCGAAAAGAAAACRATCGAAGATATCGAACGGCATCGCCGCGAGGTGGTCGAGTACAAGCCGCGACCAGTGCCGCCGCCGGCCAACTGGGACGTGACCATCAAAAACTATCCAAACCCAGATGCGTTGTATCCGCAATCAGGYGAAGACACRGCCACGGACTGGGATAGTTACTCCGAGGCGTCGTCGGTGACCGGTTATCCACCAACCGGCGTCGATCGCCAGTCCAGGATTCAGTCGTACAATAGTAACGTAATGTCATCAGCCACTTCCGAAGAGAATAACATCAGGTACCTGAGCACCATGGACGTGCCGGTGCCCAGACCAGACAACTGGGAATCGTTGGTCCGAGTTCTGGAACCGGAACCGGAGCTGGAACCCAACGCCAGGTACAGGGTCGAGCAAACACTGACACTGGAAGACAAACGTAAGTGGAGGCAGATCATCACCACCGAGTCGACACTCCGACAACTTATCACCGAAGCCACCGTTCGGGAAGACTTTGAGCGCATCCGCAGCGATCCCAAGTACGAGAGAATATTYGAACCGGAAAAATGGGACGTTATTATCCGTGTGATCGCACCACCACAGCACTACGATCAGAAGGTCACTGGTTCGTCTAACAGGTACACCAAGAAAAAGACCGAGTTTGAAGGTGCCAGGACTAGAAGAAACTCGCTGCCCACCGTTTACGAGTATGATTCTGATGGTGGGTCTAGCGTGAGGACGTTGACGGCGGTCGACGACCATGGTCCGATGGGACCAGCCCGATCCAGGAGAACGTCCAGGTCGAGTTTTAAATCCGACATGGATGTAAGGTAAGATATTGAGTTAATAGTCAGGTATACCTACACCTCCACACTGAGTGATAATGGTATTTGAAAGTGTGGTTATATTTTTTGGAGAATTAGTCCAGTTCAAAATCACGAGATTATTATTACATTAAATTCTTGATTTAGCTATTTTTTTTTTTTAACGTCATGAGAAATCGAACAATATTCTATATTACATTGTTCTATTGGACAGTATGTGAGATATAATTAATTCAGCAAAATTTTACGGTCAAGTTTTGTGATTAGGAGTGATTTATTTGTGAATGATCTGCTTTTCCAACTCGTGGTCATATCCTGAGGCTAATTCAGAATGGTTAATCATTAAAAAAGAAGGAGGATAGTTTATGTGTGAATTTATTGGCAAAATWAACTATAGCACATGAATGATTTATAAAAATGAATACACATCAATACGTTAGAACCTGTCACGAACAYATTATCATTATAAATTATAAATACATTTAAGATGCATTTAACGCGGGTGTATAAAAAATAAAATTGACTGCTCTACATTTAGATTTACACATCAGACATTATAGTGATGGTATATTATTATTTTGTTAATTTGAATGAAACCTTTACATACATTGAAAAACGGATGCTGATGGATACTTATAAGTTATAACGTCATATAATATATAGTTTGCCGAATGTGTTATAGTAGTCATCATAAATAATAATCATAATATAATTTAAGCTTATGGGGTAATTTATACTTATCACGCGAACATTATATAATATCAAACAACGCGTGTCATTATCTCGGTAATGGAAAAATTCCAATCTGCTCACATTTCTTAATCTCCAAATCCTTCTTAGAGGGTTGTTTTGACAATAATTATTGTTCAATGGGTTTGACTTGAAAAGAGGATAATTTTTGTATTTTTTGATAAAAAATATATGTTTAATCACTTAGAAAGGTTATAGCAGTAGGTAGCTTATAATTATTTTTTTTAAAAGTAAGACAATCAATGTTATTAAATACCTATTGAGTATCATAGAGTTTAGGTTATCAATGAAAAATCTTTGCTGAAACAATTTAGAACACGATTAATAATACTATATCGTAATCGCGAATAGGAATAATATATACTTAATATTTATACCACACAGGTTCATTTACAAAGTTTATGTTTTATCTAAAGTGGTAAGTGTGAAGATGAGAGATAGAGAGAGAGAGAGAAAGAGATAAAGAGAATGTTCCCGAAATGTATAATATAATACTACAAAATCAAGTAATTTTTGGTTTGTTTTTTATTTTCACGTTCGCAGGTCGATGAGTGAAATGACGGTGGACTTCCGGCGACCGGAAATGCCGGACAACTACAGCGACGTAAGCTCGGCATACAACTACAATTACCAGCAGAATCAGCACCAGTACCAGTACCGTCGGGGTGGTTCTTCTTATTACGCTGACGATGACGGCGGCAGTCTTGTCCGGTCGCTCAGCCAACCGTCGCTTGCCCGGTCCGCGTCCGAGTTTACCGAAAACAACTGGGGACTTCGGATCCGGTCGTACGAGGACGGTGACGACCTGAGCAGTCCAGATCGCACGCCGAGGTCTTCGTTCAGATCGACTCACGGTCCGCAGCAACAGCAGCAACAGCAGTCGTATTCCACCGAGACGGAGTTTGACGGAACTCGTGCTACCACCACGAGCACGCATGCCACTAGTGGCCGGAGGAGGATGTTCGGTGGCCGTACAGTGTCCGCGGCAGAGTGGTTCCATGACTCGGACGAAAACGATGCCACGTACAGATGAACGAAACCCACCCGCCAGCTGCAGACCACATAATGTATATTATATATATATAATTTTAAATAGCGAGAATTTACCCTCTGCTGTGCTCGCATATATATATATATAAATTATATGAATACTAAATAATGTGTACCTCATGCATATTCTACATCCCCTTCCCCCCTCCCCCCCCTAACACTCTGTTCCCGAAAGTCGTTTTTTACTTCTTTTTCGATTTTCGTTTTTTTACGATTATTAATTTTATGATTATTATTATTCTATAACTTTACATATTATTATTATTATTGTTGTTATTATTTCGACGGGGCACATTGTTTAGCGTGTGTCCCAGCTGGCCAGGTGCAATAATACACGTACTATATGTCATATAATAAATTATGTCGATCGAAACCTCCCTAATCTGTCCCCACTCCCGTACGAAGCTCATTATATATACATGTATATGTATTATGTATAATCATAGATATATTTTTATATAACTTACACTCAACTCGCGCGACATATATTATTATTATGATTGTCATTATATTGATTAATTGTTTTATTAATTTTTACTAACTATATTATATAAATTCATCATAATATTATATACTTACTATACGATAGATAATGCATTGAACGCGTAAAACAGACTAAATATCGATGATATATTTCATCGTTTCATCGTCGCGTCGTCAATATGACGGAAGTTTATCGATATTATGATACAATTATTATAATTTTTTTTTTCTTAACAAAGTTAGGTTTACAATCAGGATACCACGCGATCCGCAATGTGCCAAACTAATTAATATTATTATAATAATATATTTAAGCCGTTGGATTCACACACGTTTCGTTTACCCTTATTCTACACACGCGCAACAGTCTTATGCCGGTTTTTTTTTTATCGTGAGCAGAGCCATTTCGATATCGGAGGAAATCGTTTTTGAAATAATTATTTCATAGATTTTTTACATTTTCTTAGACATTGACTGGTTTACGAACGCCCTTATAGAGGTATAATATTTTAAATACAATATTCGAGTGTGTTTTTATACGTTTAACGTTGACATTTTTTTGGTCTTTTTCTTTATGTACATTACACTCATTGATTTTGCTGCGATGAATCGTTTCGTGTTCCTAGCCATACTATATAAAATAGACGAATATTGTGTTAAACCGATTTTTTATTTTCAAACTAAACTGTGATAGTGTGGGCCTAATCGTCTAATCAAAATCGAAACGCGAATGGCCCATGTCCGTGTACATCCTTCAAAACGTCTACACAACAATAAATCATAATTTTAATAAACTATTAACCATTATATATATATATATATAATAAATAATAATATTGTGCTTTGTTTAGCTCTTTTATATTCAACGAGGATTCTATACTTTACGCTTTGTACCTATTATACGAGTCGGTTGTTGACTTGTTCTATTATGTAACARGTACCTCCTATTAAATACAAAAGTGTYTTAAAAGTCATATTATTATTACAGTTAATAACTTATTAACGATTAGGTTGTAAGTTTAATGACATTTAAAAAAAGTTCAATAAGAAATTTCATTGTTCACTTGTACTAATTTTTTGTTTGTATTTTTTTTTTTTAAAGTGAAAACTGGAAACTCTTAATTGACTATCAACAGTGCATAGACTATTAATTATTATACATTGTTAATAATATTGTAATATTTATAATGATATGCAAAATAATAAATCAAAATATTTATCATTGTGAGATGATCTTCTGTATTATTTTAATTTTATCTAACCTTTTTTTAAACAAATAACTTAATAACTTATGTAATTCAAATGTATAAGTAATATAATTTTTAAATTGACATTACYTATCTATAATTTGATTCATATAATATTATGATAAACATAAAATTCACATAACAAAAAAAAAATCATAATAATTAATAATAAAGAAATATTATTGTTGTATTATTTTATGATTGTCACTGACAGAGTGTGTTATGAAAATACATAATAATTAATAGTAATTTAATTACGAGTTACGACTATAACAATACCATGTGGTTAAAACCACCATGACGTAACCCAATTTTGAATCCCTTTCAATAATATTTTCCTTTACTGAATTGTTCATAATTCTCAAGTTAATTATCTAGTTAACGTT